GACTGTACTGTGCAAATATGGAGAAGAAACTCTGGACGATGGCGTTAATCCTAGTTCTGCTGAAGATTCTGCTGGACTTCTTCCTTAGCCAGGCAGAGGGAGATGGGACCTTAGAAATACGGGTTGATTCCATGCAAATATGTAAATATCACTCAGTCTCCCGGAAAAAAAAAATTGTTGTTCAAAGCCACCGGAGCATTGTGGGACTTGTAGTCCTGACCGTGCGAAGTCCCCGCCCTCCTCCCTGCGGACCTACCAGCGGGCTTGGGCGGACTGGTTCCGCTGCCCTCGAGTGGCAGGGGGGAGGGCAGGGCAGGTTTGGGTTTGTGACAGCCCCCAGGTCCGGCCGCAGCGGGATCCGCCCCTCCCTCTGCCAGCATCCAGGGCATCTGTCCCCGCATCAACCAGCGTCAGCAGGAGCAGATCAGAGCCCCGTGTTTGGAGATGGAGGCTCTGGTGAACTCCGGTGGCTCATTCTACTCTTATGGCAGGTGAACGCCAGGAGGCAACTTGGACATCCATCCCCCCTTCCCCCCCAGGGCTGCCCCACCAGTCTGGCTGCGTATACATCCCAGGTTGTCCTGTTTCCCTGGCCCCTTTTCCGCCTTGCCCCTGCAAGACTGGGAACGAAGCATGGACTTTGGAACCTGACACAATGCTGATCCCTTATCCCTTAATGACCTTAGGTTCGTTATTGAATCTTTGAACCTAAATTTCTTCATTTCTAAGGCCTCCTTCATAAAGCAATTGTAAGGAAGAGCTTCGGTGTTTTGTTAAGTGTGGAAACTGTGTAAGGGATCTGTCAACTAGTATTAGCACACTCCTTCCACTCAAATCTGGGCTTGGAAATGGAATCCTTAGCATGTTGCTGTGTAGAGTATGTGATTTGATCCCCAGCCTGGCCCAGACTAGCTAATTTCTGTGGGTTTTCCCTCCTTCCTCTGGGCTTCTATAGCCACAGAGATCCCACATCCTGGATTTTATAGGCCAGCCTTGATCAAAAAGTATGCTACCCTCATGTTCCCATAGCACATGCCTATTTGTGGGAGCAAGTACTCCCAAGTGTTGCCTTAAGAAGTCAGTTTAGCCCAGCTCATGTGGCTCAGTGTTTGAACATTGACCTATGAACCAAGAGATCATCGTTGGATTCCCTGCCAGAACACATGCCTGGGTTGCAGGCTCCATCCCCAGTAGGGTGTGTGCAGAAGGCGGCTGATCAATGATTCTCATCATTGCTGTTTCTTTCTTTTTTTAAATATATTTTTATTGATTTTAGAGAGAGGAAGGGAAAAGACAGATAGAAACACCAAGGATGTGAGAGAATCATTGATTGACTGCTTCTGCACGCCCCCTACTGGGGATGGAGCCCATAACACGAGCATGTGCCCTTGACTGGAATCATACCTGGGACCCTCCAGTCCACAGGCTGATGCTCTATCCACTGAGCCAAACCAGCTAGGGCTGAAGTCCCCTTCTTTATAATCCAAAACAGACTATTGAGGGTAATACCAGTAAATAAATAAATAAATGTCAGTTAAAAAAAAACACCTCAATACAATTTACCAGAAAAAAAGAATGTTAGTTTATTTTATTTTAAAAACATTTTTATTGTCCTAACCATTTTGGCTCAGTGGATAGAGTATCAGCCTGCAGACTGAAGGGTCCCAGGTTCTATTCCAGTCAAGGCCATGTACCTTGGTTGCGGGCACATACCCAGTAGGGAGTGTGCAGGAGGCAGCTGATCGATGTTTCTCTCTCATCCGATGTTTCTCACTCTCTATCCCTCTCCCTCCCTCTCTGTAAAAATAATCAATAAAATATATTTTAAAAAAACATTTTTTGGTACGGCCCCGGTGAGGTTGGGACAGATAATGGGGACCAGTATAGACTGATTAACAGGGGTAGATGCAGAGGCAGAGCAGCATTGAACAGACTGTCAAACTACAGTGGGAAGCTTGGGAGGGTTGGGTGGGGGGGCGTTAAGAGATCAACCGAAGGCCAAAACCGGTTTGGCTCGGTGGATAGGGCGTTGGCCTGCGGACTGAAAGGTCCCAGGTTCGATTCTGGTCAAGGGCATGTACCTCAGCTGTGAACACATCTCCAGTAGGAGATGTGCAGGAGGTAGCTGGTTGATGTTTCTCTCTCATTGATGTTTCTAACTCTCTATCCATGTCCCTTTCTCTCTGTAAAAAATCAATAAAAATATTAAAAAGAGAGAGACAGATCAACCAAAGGACTTATATGGACACAAGACACTGGGGGGGTGGGGGCCTAAGGGGAGTGTTAAGGGGGGGAAAGGAGACATATGTAATACTCTTTGTAATACTTCAAGAAATAAAAATTATTTAAAAAAGACAATAGAAAAAAACAAAAACATTTTTTTTAAATACATATATATTTTTATTGGTTTTTCACAGAGAGAAAGGGAGAGGGACAGAGAATCAGAAACATCAATGAGAGAGAAACATCGATCAGCTGCCTCCCGCACACGCCCCCCCAGGGATGTGCCTGCAACCAAGGTACATGCCCTTGACCGGAATCGAACCTGGGACCTTTCAGTCCGCAGGCTACCGCTCTATCCACTGAGCCAAACCGGTTTTGGCAACAAAAACATTTTTATTGCCCGGCCGGTATGGCTCAGTGGTTGAGCATAGACCTAGGAATCAGGAGGTCACAGGTTCGATTCCCAGTTGGGGCACTTGCCCCAGTTGCGCGCTCCATCCCCACTAGGGAGTGTGCAGGAGGCAGCTGATCAAGGATTCTCTCTCATCACTGATGTTTCTATGTTTCTATCTCTCTCTACCTTCCTCTCTGAAATCAATAAAAATATATTTTAAAAACATTTTTATTGATTGATTTTAGAGAGAGAGAAGGGAGCAACATCAATTTGTTGTTTCACTTTATGAATCCATTGGTTGATTCTTGTAACTGCCCTGAGGACACCAGAACCAGTCCATCCAACCCTGCATGTGGGTAGGTCCCGCAACCTTGCATATTGGGACGATGCTCCAACTGAGCTACTCAGCCAGGGCCAAGAATGTTACTTTAAATTTATAACATATAGAACTAATTTATCTTTAGGTCCTTTGCTCCCATTCATCCATTTGTTCTACAAACATGTATTAAATATATACTATATGCCAGACATGTGTAAGATGCTGTCCCTGCCCTCATGGGGTTCATATGCTACTAGGGGACACACATGTAGACAGCACACCAGTGCAAGAGTAGGTGTGTGCTGGCTGCTGGGCAACACATTTCAGAAGTTCTATAGCCTCAGCATCTCTCCTGGGAGGTACTGGTAGCAACTTCTTGCTGTGGATTCTAATTAAGCATTAAAACAGATGCTTTTAGAATTACAGAACATCAGAGCTAGGTGTTCCGTTCAACCACTGTATTTTGCAGATGAAGCCCAGAGAGTGTATGACATCCTGAATGTCAAACAGGTAGATGGGTCCACATCTCGCGGGAGGTGGGAGGTGGGGGGTGGGGAAACCTCCAGTGTTGATTAGCTTGCATCTCATTCTTTGGAAGTTTCAAGAAACTTAGGAATGGTGACTTGGTTGGTACTGGGGCAGAGTTGTGTGGATAGCCACATGGGAGACAGCTTTATGCTGGTCTTGGCCTGGGAAGTGGAAATGTGTTTAAAAAGGATGACAGACTGGTGCAGCCATTATGGAAAACAGTGTGGAGTTTCCTCAAAAAAATTAAATTTGGAGCTGCCATTTGACCCAGTGATCCTACTTCTAAGGATATAGTCTAAGGAACTCGAAACACCCGTCAGAAAGGATGTATGCACCCCTATGTTCACAAGCAGCTTAATTTACCATAGCTAAGATCTGGAAACAGCCCAAGTGCCCATTAGTAGATAAGTGGGTAAAAAAGCTGTGGTACATTTGCACCATGGAATACTATGCAGCAGTAAAAAAGAAAGAACTCTTACCCTTTGAGACAGCATGGAGGGACCTAGAGAGCATTATGCTAAGCGAAATAAT